AAAAGATGGCAATTTTGACTGTTCTTGACACGAGAGGGAGTAGTGCGATACGTGAAGGTCTCGTTGCATCGACTACGTGATGAATGCATTTTTGTCCGGAGGAGAAATGAAATCCATGCCAGTACATACACGAACGTACTTTGTGAGATCGGATGTGTGAGAAATGCTATCCATGCAGGTACACGGGCATACTTTGCATCCTGGGCGAGTAATTCCAGCTGTCGCCGGTGAATATTTTTGTGATTATTCCATCGATTGATCCATCGGAGAAGAATTGACTACGTGCAGAGGTCGACTGCAAACCTCACCCCCGTACCTGACATCTGTTTGTGAACCGATTACTGGTGTTTATTTGGCATTTTTGAACGGTGAAAAAAAGAACAAACAAACAATTGCGCGATACCACGGAAGAGGGAGTGATGTACTTGGCAACCTTTTTGAAGCAGAGAGCTGCTACGTGGCTCGTGATTCGTGCCAAGGCAGGGCTACTAGTTTGCACTATGACGCGAGCCGCTTCGGCTTCTACTCCAACCCCATGTCCCCGACAGGTTACGCATACCACGGGTGCAAATAACCATTCATTTGGCAAAGGTTGAGCCGCCTCATTTTTTTCCTCCATAAATTGACAAGGACTCAGTCACTGCTTTGTCGTGGACAGTAACTGTCAGAAAATCTGCAAAAATGTTGATTCTTGCTTTTACCGAACAATGCCGCTAAATGCTACCATTCTGCTCATCAATTCTGAGACGCTGCAAGTACATTTTTCATCTCGTCTTTACTGTGCATGTCAACTTAGAGCATGTGTGCATGCGGCAATAAAATTTGAGGTTAGGGGCCACTGTGCTCCTTGTAAAAAAATAAGTAAAGGTGGTGTTCTGGGGCCCTGTCAACTAAAATCAGATGTAGACAAATCTTATTGGATTCAATACAAACATAATTATCTGCGATCATGGAGGACCAAATAAAATGGAGAATAAATTACTGTTGAGAGGCTGAATGAAATCTGGACATTTAGGTTTCCGAAACGATTCATCTATGATCGAAATTGTTGTGGATTACTTTGGCAAGTGATTAATTGTTGCACCACGAGTGCCGAGTTATCAAAAGGCTTTTTTTGGAGGGGCGGGGGGGCATTCAGTCTAGCGGGGCCATGCCAAATTAAGCAAAAGAGAGGAAAACCTGCAAGAGAGAGAGGGAGAGAGCGGGAAGCGGGAGCAGGACGACGAGGTGGCTCACCCGCACTCGGAAGCGGAACATGGCGAGGCGGACGCAGTGGCTGAGGCAGGCCGGGGGCAGGAACCAAGCCCGGGGAGGCGGGGTCGCCTTGCCGCCGACGTGGTTGACGATGAGCTGCGCGGTCTGTCGCTGGCCCTGAGCTCGCCGCGCCCACTCCGGCCAGCGCTCCTTGCCCAGCGTGCCGTTGAAGACCACCACCAGCTCCAGGCCGCCCTGGAAGAGGCAGGCCTGGGACAGGGCGGCCAGGTAGCCCAGCATGGCGTTCCACTGGCCGCCGCACACCCAGTCCGTCTGGTAGCCGCCGTAGAGGCGCTGCAGGCCGGAGTCGGCGTCCACCAAGATCCTGGCGGGCGGGGGCGGGGGGGGCATGGGCCCCGGGGGGTGCGGGGGGTGCGGGTGATGGTGCGGGGGGGGGGGCGGGGGCTGGCGGGCCGCGGGGCCGGGGGGCTTGAGGAG